CAGCCAGGCACAGAGCTTAGCTGATTGGTGAACAGTGATTGATTTCCTCTTTGTTCACAGTGGCTAAGTTCTGCACCTGAGGAGAGCATGACCCAGACAAGCAGACAAGAGAAGACAATGAACGTGTGTGAAAGAAAAGAGAAAAAGTTCTGTGTGTGTATGTGTTTGTGCGCGTGTGTGTAGCCGAGTGCGTGTGTGTCGTATTTTTCCCACTTTAATTATCTAATGTGTGCTCATACATTTCAGTCACAGAGCTCCTTCCCCTTTGTCCTCCGTTTTTTCTCGCTCCTTCCTTGATTGTTCCGCATCCTCTTTCACCTTTCCCTTCATTCTCTTATCTCGTCCCCCCCCCCCCTTCCTTTCTACTCATCCCACATTTTCCTTCAACTCTTGCTCAAATGTAAAAACCTTCCACCCAAACCCCCTCTCGCCCAGACGTATCAAACACTGCAGCCTCCGCGCATATTCAAAAAACGGCGGGCAACGTTACTAATGAGCGCCGCGCTGCACTTTGTGTCCGTTCTTCTATCTGCTTCTTTCATCTTCCCTCTTTGCTCTTGTACTTGCACCTCTCGGCTTCTGTCTCGTTTTAGTTAAGTAGCGTAACAGATAATTTTGCAGATGACGCTCTGTGGTTCTATAGTGAAGGTGAGAGCCAAGAACCTCAGGAGAGAGACTGTACTTCCAGTGCTAATGAGGCCTGGGGAGACTCAACACTGCTGACAGATATTTCAATCAATCAGGGACCAGTGGCTTTTAATGCCTTTTTCAAAAGTCTTACCCAATCGCTGTTATTGGTTTTATCTGGTTAGGGTTAGTTGGTTGTTAGACTCTGTTTGTATGTTCACAACGACTCATCAGTTCAGTTTACGAACGATGAAGGAAAAACGTCCTGGTAGCCAGTTTGCCAGTCAGCTGTTTTTCCTTTCACTGATTGTTTCGGTCACTCGTAATGGATCAGCATTGTTCACAGCTGTTTACTGTGTAATGGAATGAAACACATGACCTCCTCGTTGAACACGATTTGCACAATTCCAACACCAACAAAATCTATTCAGTTCATCCCTGAGTTCAGATGAATATCATGTTCACAAAAAGATGGAAGAACACGACTGTTGTTGATGAAAATATATTGAAATTACTCTTTGGTTTTACGAGGGATTATGTGGGGAACAATTTCTCCAATACCTCCTGGTCTTCCCACTTGTATCTTCACTGGTGTAATCTCACTGTGATGACAAGAGTCTGAGTCTCAAAAAAGATTTGTATTAATTAATGAATTGTTGTTTTAACCTAATCCGGTGTCTTGTTGTTTGCTGTCTTTCTGCTAAGTTAAACAAACCATATTCACATTCTGACTGTGGTCGCATCAATGTTCTCTTCTAACTCACAGTAAATAAGCCAATTTCCCAAAACATCTATATAAAAAAAAATGATTCCATTAACTGAATAGTCGAGCTCAGATACAGCAGAGTTGAAAAAAACAAGAGGACAGGATGATCAGGACATCAGTTCTCAAAATCCTCCTTCCAGCATTTAAGTTTTTAAACTGTAAATCAGTTTGCCGTGAAAAGTAGTGCCTGTACGTCCCCGGCTGATATGTATTGATTTCTGATCTAATCTCAGCTCCAGGACGGAGATATGTTGACATAAAGCAGACGGATTCTCACAGTGACGCGCTGTGAATCAAAACAAGACGGAGGCGCCAATGATGGAAATCTTTTCAATGATTTCAGAGCTTCCATCGCTTGGGTCTGTCGGTGTCGTTTTTTGGGACAATTTAAGTGTTTTGAATATAGATTTACTGTGTGATAAATTCTTTTACTGTGTCGTCTCAGATAAGAGAAAGAAGAAGCTGCGACCCCAGAAAAGCAAGAATTTTGACCACATGCTTTGTTTCCAGTGTTAGAGTTTAATGAGGGAGAGTTCTCCAATCAGTCGATAAGCTTAATTAATGAAAACAATGCAAACTAAGGAAAAGGTCTTTAGCAATATGTGCATGTTTAATCTCAGTGTGTAAACCTCAACAATAAATCATGTACGACTCAAGTTTCAAATATTTAACCCACAGCCACTTAACAGAGCGGGCGTCCACTTTCATCCCATCTGATTGTAATGCAAAGCTATACAACCCTGCTCCCAAATCAAAACAGTGACAGATGGCTGTTAATGTATTTTAAAACTGGCCAGTCTTTTTTTGGCGATCAGCACCCGAGCCCCGAGGAGGTATTATAACGCTCTATATTCACAACGACAAAATGGCGACTAAACGGGGACAGATGTGTAAATTAGAAATGAGGGCCATGTGGAGCCTGCCATTTTTAGACCTATATTTAGGGCCTGTTAAAAGAGTAATGACCATCAAAGGCCTGTAAAAGAGAGGAATAGCGATCAGGGCCTGTATCTGAAAGGTGATTTATTACACTCTAATGGGGGAGGGGGATGGTGCTCGGCACATCAAAGCACGAGGCAACATTGTAGAGAGACACCAAAAATAAACGTATTGGGATCCCTCCATCCCTCCCTCCATCCCTCCCTCTATCCTTCTCTACATGCAGCCAAACTCTGACCATGTGAAGCTGTTGCATGAGACTCTTGTATATGCAGCTTTCTCAACGTTAACTCGTGCAACATGTGGGTATGGTGTCATAAAAAGGTGCTGGAATGTGATGCAGTTGGATTTATATCGAGATTTTTATGATTGGATTCTTAAAATAGTCGTAAACCCTTATTTTTTATTCCAACAATGTAAGAATCATTTTGCAGAGCTCCACCAACAACCTCAATGAAGCTAGTGTTGGGGTTTCTTATGGGTTTGGCAGAGCTGCCTCACAATGGCACTTCATTATAGACACTGCAAGAAAAAGAGTTCATGGCCGACCAGTGCTTGATGAGAAGGATTTGGACTCGGCCTCCTGTGCCTACTGAGCTGATAATCAGTCCTAGAACCACTGGCTCAGTTCAGCAGGAACAGGAGTCCAGTCCGCTCGCCAGCGAACCACAGACAACACTGGCCCAGGTCCAACAGAACTACAATCCAGACCACACACTAATCCTGACAGGGTGATTTGTGCTCTTTTTCAAGACAATAACAATTAAAGCTCCTTTCATAATTTAGCTTTCTGATGAATTTGCAGAACAGTTTCAGGAAACATTTATTAGGATGGGAGTTAAACTGATTAGAGCAGAACTTATTGACTATAATCAAACATAGTTAGTAGTGATCCCTCAGAAATCCAGTTTCTGCTGTCTTCTGTCTTTGGTCATTCAGCATCTTATCTAGAATGTTCTTCTGGATTGAACTCACATGATAATCAGTGTTTGTCTGTACACCAGGTTGAAAACACATGTACAGCCAGAGGATTGTAAACATCTACCAAATATTCTGTAACGCTCCAATCTGGCCGCGTCTTTCCAGGTTGCCGACTACAGACGGCGATGACAGGAGTTTGGCTCACGAGGGCGGACGAGGGTCCAGAACTCACCTCCTTCTCCCCCTGCAGGAGAGGAGACGCTGCAGAGTCGCCGAGCAGCGTGAACACCAGAAGGCTGCGCTCTTACTCTGCATCCGAGGCCAACTGGCGAGGTTTAGAGAACAGCAGTTCTGTTCATTCAAGTCTAAAGAGATGGTCTGTACTGACGGTACAAGCTGTGTGTAGTGAGATGTTGTTGCCTCCATTGTTGCTGTGGTAAGAGGGAAACTACACATTTCAACCTGCTCAAAACGACAGAGCATGTGAGAAGAGATATTTCATAAAGAAGCTGCACCTCCGACCTCAGCAGCTGCATCTAAGCTCCTTTCTGTGTGTGAGTCTGTGCGAGTGTGAGTTTGTGTAGGTGTGAATTCATGTCTGTTTAGTCTACAGCCACGATCTGGTTCTTATGTTGAGACTGGAAAACCTTCCAGGTGAAAAATGTTTTCATATATAACAAATGACTTCACTCTGGCCTGTAACGACACTGGAGCATATACAGCTGACAAGGCTCAGGACATTTTCTATACATCCATGTGATGGTTCTGTAACTGCTGTGTAAATATGATAATGGAAAGATTTTTTCCGTGCATGATGTTTGAGTTTTTTATACGTTCATGATGTAATAAAAAAGATTTTTCTTGAACATGTGATTTTTTTGAAACTCATTCTGTCTCTGGAAATAAAATCAACTTGTACTCCTTCACATCAGGTACAAATATCTAGATTGTCATTTCATCAAACATTTCATGACTGAATCCAACACTGGTTGTGTAATGCTGTAATAAAGTAGTTGTACCACCTCACAGTTGTCCTCCACCAAATTCTCAAGCTGCAGTTTCCATCCACGACTGTCCACACAGTGAATACATCGATATCACGTTTGATTTTTAAAAGGTTGTTTCACAGACTGTTGACGTGAGATGCTAAACTACAAACTCACAGCTGTGGAGGACAGGTGTTTTTTGAGTTGACTATAATATCTGAACAAATATTTTTAGAACAGATCTTTTTGTTCTAGACGGACGATGGGATCACTTTGGATTTATAAGTTTATTACTAACCCTGTTGGATTCCACACTATCGATGAGGTGATCACATTACATCAAACAACCTCTTATGTATCAATCTCATGTAGATTAATTAGTAAAACATGTCTTAACATCGAGGAGAGTGAAGTTTGTGAGAAAAAAAAAAGGTTTATGAGGAGCTCTTGTAATAACTTCCAATTTTAGCTAATTTAAAATTTTAAGAACAAATCTTACAAATTCAATCAAATCAAGTGATCTCATCCAAATCAGCAGGTTCTCACATGAGAGAATTTACTGCTTTTCTTTCAGCTTGTTTTGAAGTAAATGAAATATTTTCCCACTTGGTAGAACGAATCCACAGATTAATCAGCAGTGAAGACGATTATCAGTTGTCGCCCTAAACCATTGATAGTTTAAACAACATGATGAAGTAGTAACGTAGAAGCATGATCAGGAATAGTGAACTCCAGTAGTAATATTTGAAATGTGTATTTATTGTAAATGCCACAGACAGAAAACAACAATGAACAGCAGAAAATGTACAAATAAATATAAGCCACTTTACTTCTAATTAACAGTTTATCATGTACTCTGCACTTTAATGTCTCATATTTAACACATTTCAGCACAAAGGTAAATGGCATTTGGTGTCATTTTCCTTCAGACAAATGCCTGTGTGTGTGTGTGTGTGTGTGTGTGTGTGTGTGTGTGTGTGTGTGTGTGTGTGTNTGTGTGTGTGTGTGTGTGTGTGTGTGTGGCGTGAAGGATTCATTTTGTGAGACAATTACATGAGTGGGAGGACTCTGACACGCTGTACCCGCTGCTGCTTCTTTGCAGTGTGATCTGTCACTCCTCAAATGTCCTTGTGGGCCTTGTAGTTGTAGTGTGTGTGTGTGTGTGTGTGTGAGCGTGTGTGCACATATAATTGCAGCCTCTCTCCACATAATCCGTCCTTGCTGTGCTGTGTTTTGACACATTCCTGTCATTGTCCCAAGTAAATCTACACAAGAGTGTGGCTATTTGTCATTCTGCCGACGTGCCCCGAAAAAACCCTGAGCTGAGGAGGAACTCGCTGCTGCATGGTTGTTTGTGTTAATGTGTGTGTGTGTCTGTGTGTTTGTGTGTGTGCGTGCTCTCACCTCCTTCAGAGTGTGTGAGTGTGTGCTTGGCCCTCAGCGGGGCTTCATGCTGCCTGCATATGTGTTAGTGTGTTCTGAAGTGCCTCGATCCTGAGGTGAACTCTGTTAGCGTCGCTTGATAAGCAGCTTCCTGCATTTAGCCTCAGCTCCAGTGAGTGGAGAACACACGCTGCTTCTTCAACCAGACCAGACCGACGCACCACCTGGACCCACCAACACACACACACACACAAAGATATTGCCTGTAACAGAGCCAAAACACTTAACTAGAGAAAGCATTAGTATGTGAAAAGGCTTAGTTTGAATAGATCATATTCAACAGAGCACTACATAGTATTAGATCATGTATTTTAAATTAAATATGCTTTAGTATTTCACGATAAACAGAAACTACAACTAAACAACAGGAGCCCATTTGACATCAACAAATGTCGAGTACACAGAATAACTGATTTAGGATCAAATAAAATAACCACAGTAACCACTAAGGATCAAAGTGTGAATATTAATCTGATATTCTCCACTGACTTCAACTAATATTGCATCATACACGACCCAAGCACAACAACACTATCCAGTGTGTGGGAACATTTATTACATTTGGCAAGCGAGGAGGTTTTTCCATCTACTTTTGTGTAGTTGTTTGTTTGTAAGCAAGACTACGCATGAGACGTGGAGGGGAGATGTGATCTGGGTCAGGAAAGAACTCATTAAAGTTTAGTGCTGATCTGGATCAGGGGGCAGATCCAGGAATGTTTCTTCCCTTTGTTTAACATTGTGTGATGTGGCATTTCTGAACATTTTCTCATTTGGAAAAGTTTCATGGATTTAGATGAAAAAAAACATGTTTAGGAAACTGATTCTTGAGCGTGTGCAATTTGAAACGAATCCAGATAAAAATCTGGATCAGGAGACTTTAAATGTGGTTTTATAAGGGGACTGCTGGGCCACTCTTTGAATTTACTATTATAAAAACATAACAGGTTGTTTCCTCACCGTCTGTAAAATCTGTGATGAGCTGCTCAGCGGTTGTTGGGAAAAAACGGCAAAGTTGACTAAGAGGCTGATGATCAGTGACGGTGACGGTCGCTGAGGTCGTGGTGACAGCAGAGTGACCAACAGCTGCTGGTGGTCAACAGGAGGTGGATGAGCGGAGACAGAGAAGAGGGCGTGGAGGTGGTCCCACGCTTCTCTGGCCTGTACCTGGAGACAGTTAGCATGATACATTTCAGGTCAGCTGACGGATGTTTATTTATAGGCCACACTGGAATGAAGAAGCATCGCTTTAAGTAGCCTTCCTGCAGATAGAAATCAATAGATTAGTAATTCACAAATGATGAACAGAGACGACCCAGTGCGAGTTGAACGTAAGGTCGTAATTGGAGAGAGGGCGGTGGAGAAAGTGAGTCTCTCGGGGTTATGAGAGCATGCGGACAAACAGGAGACAGAGAGATGAAACTCAGGCCAGCTGGCCAGACACTCACTGAGGAATCAATACTACATCACCCTTTTCACCCGGCTCGCCTCTCTCATCTGTCTCCCTGTCTCCCTCCGCCACTGTCTCACTCTCTGCGGCTCAGATAGGGGTCATCCATAATTTATTCTTTAATGTGTTTCTCTCTTTGTTTTTCTTCTGTGGCTTTCAGCGACGACACACCTGCTGTGAGCAAATAACCGAGCATCCACAATGTTGCGGCGCTGAGTTATGATAGCGGCCCTTCTGCAGGAGATATATCTGAGTGGATAGAGTAGAGCCACTGCTTCCTCCGCTCACATGGAATAATTCTCTGAGGCTGAATACAGAGTGGTTCTTCATATCCAAACCTTGCTCATGCAAACAGCTGCAGAGTCAGAGAGATAATAAGTCAAATTTAGAAGAGTTTCCAAATTAAAGACTCCACGGCCAAGCTAGCTGCTCAGTGAGGCTGTTTATACAGTAGTATATAAATACATATATGTGAGAATCAAAATGGCAGCTTGAAAAACTGATACCAAGAGCCCCTGAAGTAGCAGAAAAAACAAAGAAGGGAGATTTTAGAAGGAGAATTTAGTGTTTGCATAATCTTACCAGCTGTAGATCTCTGAGGTGCCCCCTGTTGGTGGGGTGGTGGTAGAAGTTCAGCAGCCACAAGAGGGGGCCCCGGTCCTCGAGCCCGCTTGTCCCCAGAAGTTGGACGCTCACCTGCACCCAGTGAGCACACTGAACCAACAGGAACCAGGCCTCAAACACCTTCTGGTGCCCCCTACAGGGCGGGAGGAGATTTTTATTTTTACTTATCCTATTTTTTCTCTTCAGTTGGTAATGACGGCTTGCAAACGCAGCACTACACTGGGGCAGGCCCAGGTTTATGGGGCTAACAGCGCTATAAACAGGTTTTAATATCTATAAACCCTGGTGATTTGGGTGGTCTAATTTAGCTGCTAAACAGCCTGGCACTCGACCCACCTCATCCTCACTTTTTCCAAGTTAAATGTGTGAATAAGCAAAACGTTCCCCTCCTCCAGCTGCAGCTCCAGATAAGTGTCAGGGAGGTATTTTAATACATATTTACATTGTAACAAATTTATTTGTCTATGAAACAAATCAAGTGTTTTCCCCCAAAGTTTTGATAAAACCACAAGACCCTTTAAAAGCTTTTTCTTTCGTGCCGACAGCCTGTTATTAAACAGATCGCATTCAGAGATAGATACCGAAAATCCTCATACCTTCCCAGGTGTGACATCGGAGCCATGACTGGATCTTTCAACAGTTGATATGTCCTCAGAAAAATCTCTGAATACAACCTCTTTATAATCCATGATGATTTAAATGTATGACCATACACTGTCTATTTATTCAATATTCTGAGATGTGGACTGCAGTCCTGATGGACATATGTAAGGAAAAGGAAGGACACGACTGGAGCTGAGATGACAAGAGAGTAAGAACTGATGAGTCAAGATTTTCAAGCAAAGATGCCAAATATTTCCTGGGTCTTTGTCTGTGATCTGCACCTCCCTGCACTCATATTAAAAACTAAGAACGAGAATAAAAGTTTAATACAAAATGTAAGATGGACAAAGATTAGACAGAGATGGTGAGACAGAGCTACACAGCTGCAACAGCGAGACTATGACTTAGAGGAGCGATAAAGATCTTTCTCTCTCTCAAATTTCCCTAATACCACCATTAGAGCTCTCCACCTCATCTCCCCTCTTTCCCCTTGGCTCCCAAACACAACCAGCAGCACCCCTCTGCAGGGCCCTGGCAGCTGCATCTTCGCTTGGAGCAACACAACAGACTACTTTCCCACCGCTGGCTCGGAACAATGTTTTGGGAAATTTTCATGGAGCTCCAGAGAGGAGTGGCGGCGGTGGTGGGGATAATGGGCCCTGTTAAAAACCACAGCTGGAGGGTATCGAGTCAGCTGTCTCCATCTCGAGGACATCAACTCCTGTCTGCTTTTCATCCGCATCTTCTACCCTCTTTTTCTCTAAATCCGTCCAACTCTCACTCTCTGTTTTTCTCTCTACCGTGGTTTAGTTTTCCTCTGTCCATTTTCGCCCTGGTTCTCCGGTTCTTCTTCTGCATTCCTTTTCTCACTCTTGTTGGGCTTTCCAACACTTGTTCACACCACAGCTCCCATTCCCAAGCTAACAGCCTCTAATGAGTACTTGGAGGAGCCATGCAGTGCACCAAGACCTCTCTGCTGTGATGCAAGAGGAAAATATCTGACTAACCACCCCCTTAGCAACAGCTAATGGAAATAAGAACACCACGCAAGCATTTGCTGAGGTGGTGGTAGCAGATGCACATCAACACATTCTCTCTACAAGCTTTTGTCACTCTAACCTGGTGCTGCTGCTGCCGTCTCCCTCCTCTTCCTCCTCTGTCAGCCTCTGTAATGAGCTGCTGAGCCAGTTCAGGTGATGTCTCCAAGCCTCCAGAGGCATCTCTGCAGGAGCACATTCACACACAGACACCATGATGACTTTTCTACATTAAAATGGCATTCACAAAATTCAGAGCAAGCCATCTAGTCAACATTCAAGAAAGGAACAATTCAACATAATGGGAGATCCAAGAAGAAGATAAGTAGACTAGTTCCAGCATGTAACTCACCATAACACCACAACTTTTACTCACAATTATTTCCATTATTGGTTAATGACCTGCACCAAAGAGGTTATGTATTTGTCTGTGTTTGTTGTTTCATTAAGCAGGATTCACAAGTTTCTATAGTATTTTGTGTGGATCTGGATCAAGGGGTCGATCCAGGGTGTTTTTGAACATTTGTATTGAATTCTCAGAGAATAATTTATGGATCTTGATGAAAACAATTCGGCATGTTTAGGGGACTGATATGAGTGTGTGCAATTTGGTGGAGATTAAATAATGTTTCATAATTTTTCTGTTAAGATGCAGAATACTACAACACACAAGAACCTTTTGTATGTGAAATAACTTTAATGGACTTCCCATATATCAGTCACAAGTCTTTCTCAGAACTAGATAGACTCCTGTTTGTACTTTTACTTGTTTGTTTTCCAGCTGTTATTTTTACCTGCTTTAAAAAAGACCTAAGTGGTGTTTGTCACATTCCACATTGTTCTGCCAAGAAATAACTTTGCTTACACGAACCATATTTTGCACTAAAAACCCACATAACTCACTAACAAACTAACAAACAAACATTTCAGACACTTCTTATCTTGATCCAGATCTTTCCTGCCCACTGCTTGAACAATGCAATGCTGAGGCCAAATTTATGCCTTTTTCAGTGGGAGCACGAATCCTGATAAAAAGCTCAAACCGTCTACTTTTCAAAGCACCGTTTCCATTCAGTCTCCAGTGACACACACACACACACACACACACACACACACACTCACACACTCACACACACACTCACACACTCACTCACACACACACACACACACACACACACACACACACACACACACAGACAGTAATAATTAACTCAGGGTTCTGGCTTGGTTCCAGTGTGTCCCTAAATGGCTCTATTCATGTAAATCATTTCTGCTTGGGGGCCAGTCTGGGCACACACTGATAAGCACTGCTCCACTGTGCCCCTGCACTCACCTACTGTGCATGTCTTCAGTGGTAAAGATTCCCATATGTAAACACTGGTATTACATATTCAATATGGATAATGCTGATTCTTCTTAGTGAGAAGAATAAGGTGCAATTGTGTGTTTGTGTTACACGATCATTGGTTATTCACAATAAAAACCTAAATTGATTTAACGTCTGTAAATGCGTCAGATTAGAAACTCATTTTGACAATATGTAACCTTCACTTCCTTCCTGCACCTTCCTCCACCTTTTAGGAAAGACATAAAACACTGAGCTAAGTTGTTAACTAACTATTATTGATTAGGGAGAACAAGATACACAAGAGTCCATTCAGTCTGCAGCAGGAAAACTGTTTATACACTGTTAAAGAATACCTGAATACACCCTGACTCACAATATAGGGTTTGTGTCAGAGCACGCGTGCACGCACAGACACTGTGTGAGTGTATGTGCACACTGACCTGACGGCAGGGTCAACAGAGGGACCAACACACTCTGAGGTGACTGTGGGAAGAAAGCCTTCAGAGACACACACTTCTGAAACAACACAAAGCAGAATTTTTTTAACTGTAAATCACACGTACCTTGACGTCATACATCACTGTGCTCTGAAAGGCTGAAAAATGACATTTTGAATGGGAGGCTGTGTAACGGTGATACAGCAGGTGCTAATGTGTAATGTAGCGTGTAATGGGAAGTGTTTAGTGCAGTGTGACTACAGCCATTTAAACCGGAGTCTACTGTAAACGCACTGCAGCACTGCCATCTACTGGCTAATAGAGGTGAAAAGAAGTTGGGCTGAGTTTACAAAGTTGTGGAGCAGGTAAAGCATCGAACCTGCGTGGTGACATATCTGTTTTCTGGACTTTTGACAGTAATGGCTGACATGTGGGTGTCACATAATTTCCCTAGTTACACAGGAAGTGTTGATGGAGGCCATTGATACAACAACAGATGTGTCTGAAAGAAGCTGTGGGACAGTTTTAGCAAAGTGTGTGTGTGTGTGTGTGTGAGTGTGTGTGTGTGTGTGTGTGTGTGTGAGTGTGTGTGTGTGTGTGTGAGTGTGTGTGTGTGTGTGTGTATGAGCAGGGAGCTCTCAGATGAACAGGAAGTGATAACGATGTGGGAGATGGAGGATTCATCAAAGGTTAAGTGAGTGTGCCTGCAGAGGAATCTGTGTGTGAGTGCAGCAAAGTCTACAACAGATATAAGTTACCGTTGACTCATTAAGGATAAAAGTGTCACGTGACAAATGAAAAGCCATAAAGTAAAGTTAGACACGGTGTCATATCTCTGCTGGTTGTACATTAGACTTCGATGGTTTGACTTTTATCACAAAAGCTGTAATAATGTAGGCTAAACGTCGAGTGGTGGACTGTGATGACAAGAAGAGTTTTTAGTTTGTTTGAGTTCATGATAATCAACCAAAGGGAACAATGAATTTCAATATGTCAACTTGCTATGTAATGGCTATTATTTTTATATTTCAATGTCCAAAGGATTAATCATTTGGGGGCAGATTCATTTACAGTCTTCCAAAAAACACATTTGCTTCACACTTTTGGATCCTACCTGAGGCTGCAGCAGTTTCAGTTCCCTCAGAAAACATCTGGTAAATGTTTGGATGAGAGAATTAACACAGTTGTTTCCTTCAGACTGTTTAAGCGTCGACCTGCCAGATACAAACACACACACACACACACACATAATCATAGACAAATAAACATGGTGGACTCCATCATAACAGAATTTGCAAAAACCCAACCTCTAAATGACACACAATCACTCACCTGAAGATGTCATTCACAACTAAAAATATCGAGCAGTGCTGAGCACAGGCTTTAGGCTGAAACACACAAGAAACACGAAATTAAAACTCTGTAAAGTGACGCTGCTGCACAGATAAACACACAACACCCAGAATAGGATTATAATAACCAGAAGATGAGACATTTGAACTTCTTCAAGAGAAGAAGTATTTACTCAAAACACACACAACCACCGGATGTCACTATTGCATCGTCTACAAACCTCCAGTGCCTCAGAGTGTCCCTGTTCTCACACTTCTCCCGGTGAGCCGCTCAGTTTACCACTGTGTCAGTCCTTCCTCCACAGCGCCCCACACAGACTCACTCTCTCATCTTCTCCTAATGTACACTCATCATGTGTTTCAGATTTAACACATTCTAAAATACCCAAGTGCAAACATTTAACAGCTGTACTGTTCATGTCTGCCTCCCTCTCCCTTTTTTTACTTCTTCGACTCCCTAATTATTCTCCCTTTGCACCCCCCTCCACACTCTCACATAGGAGGAGAGCACGTAGTCTGGAGACAGAATCAGACATGAGCAAGCTTGTCTATTTATTTCATTAGCTCACGGTGAATTTAAAAGCCACTGGTGTGACTAGTTTCAAGTGGTATTTTACAATAATAAGATCCTTGTGTATATATAAGCTACAACCTGGTTATACAAAGGAGTATTTTCTTCTCCAGTTTATGTACACATGTAACTGCACGACTGACTTTGTGCCAGGGTTCCGGACCAATTACAGTCACAGTAAGAACAAAAAAAACCCCACCCAGTGTTTAAATGGTGTCATTACAATGTCCCCACAAACAAAGCAAAGGCTTTTATACTCAGTTTTGACATGTTTGGTTCTTGTTTCTCCTCCGGGGCAAGAAAAGTGGAATTAATCAAACAAATCATGTAACTGTTTGGATGGACATGAGCAATGCGTTGGCATACCGTTCATGTACATATGTCAGTGGGCATCTGCATGTGTGGGTTGTACGCCAGCACCGTGCACGCTGTCATGACCCCCCCCCCTAGTGAAAACATGTGGGGATTTTTAGCGTCCTCCTCCATACCTTACCACTAACACTTCAAGGAGGGTCAATTACAGCATACAACAAACATCCTGTTTTTGGCAGTCAGGCCCAGGAAGTGAGTATTTATTGTTATTGGGCCTGCGTCTCTCTCTCTCACTGGATCGTGCAGGGGTGGGACCAGCCAAAATGAGGAATGTGAGCCTAATTTCACGTTTCCCATTTTTGATTGCAGTTTAAACAAGTGAGTGAAAGGGAGGTGAGGAGTTGGCTCAGACGTTTCTCGTTTAGTTTTTCTCTTCAACGCATGCGTCGCAACAGAGACTCGCATGAAAACGCACATCTGACACACAAAAAACCTGAAGGCTGAGTGGAACCTTAACGAAAGCTGCCCAGACGCTATACAAACGATACACTAGACCAGATGTAATATCATAAACAAAAGCATTGGCGGCTGAAGGTGTGCGTGTGTGGAGAAGGTTTGTATGCATACATGTGCATGTGAACTATAAAGGTGATAAAAACAGAGGTCAATCAAAGAAGGACAAGAGAATAAACAAGTAGATCCATGACGGGACCGAGAAGTAAACTGTTTCTATAATTAGTTTGATTGCTAACAGAACTTGTCTTACCAACATAGTAGCTCTTACTAACTCAAGATGAGGGAACCGAGCGCAATCAATAGGCCGGCGTATCCCTGTAGACTCAGCGTTAGTAATTCATTTAACAGTGTGCTCCGATCTCCTCCATTTTTGAGAAGAGTTCCTAAACTAAGACAGCATCCTGTTGTGTACACAGCTCAAGTGGACCATCACTCTGGGAAAACGGGAGTGACACAACTGACAAACTTGACCTAAGTTAACATGAGGCAAAATACCCTGTTTCCTACTTGTAATCAGTAACTTAAGTAAACAGGATGCCATTTATAACCGTGCACTCAAGGTGTTTTATTGCTGGGCAAAGACATTTGGCACAAACAGTTTGTAGAAGCAAGTCTATGTACATTTATCTACTCTGATTTTATGTCACGTCTACTCTGTGAATAATTACTCTCAAGATAGGTCTAGATTTGAGTAAACATTGTTATATCTAGTTTCAGAGTTTAGTCGGAGTTTCGGCGACACGTTTCATTATTTTATTGTTATTCTTAATTATCACAGGACCTGTACTAATTTGTAAAACATGCTCCAGGATACTATAGGATATAAAGCTGCCCTTGTTAGCGACCGATTGCATTGCTGTGCATTGTAGTGAGGACATCATCTTCAATAACTAGTCATAACAATCAATAAATCAAAACTCACTTCTGACTTTTGAACTGGCCATGATCTTCAGTTAAATCAAGTGAGGAGCGGCCTTCGACTCAAGTGACGGAGGGTTCAGTACTTAACCGTGCACAGTGAAGTCTGTGTAGCACGAGCCAAATTATGTGAGAAGAGGTTTAATGCTCGCCAAATGATGTGAGATGCACGCAGAGCAAAGCCAAGTGGTGTGAGTTAGCCAGGCAAAAACAGTCAATAAAGACTCACTGAAAAAAGCGATGGAATGTTTCCAAGAACGGAGCATATGAAAAAAGTACACGTTCATATTAGTGACTTTAAAATGAGCAGGCCTTATATTCAAATGCTTGGTTTCACAGTTTACAGAGCTGTTCAAATTGGAGTTGAACACATATGGAGCATGCAGCGAGTTCTGATGTGAGACTCTAACTCGGGGCAGATGAGTCAAACTACGTACATAACAAACCCAGTTTAACAGCAGCAATATGTCCCTAATTTATCAACAGTCCTAAATGATGCCAGTTCACGCAGCAGTAAAATTGCAGAACGGTTCACAGAACAATGGCACAACATTCTACACATTTCACAGCATCTCAACAGCTTCACAGATGACAAATTAAACACTCATGCATTAGGCGATTTCAGCTTAAACTTCAGCCTATTAACTAAGCTATGATGAAATACTTCCTTCCAATAATAGTTTGAGAGATACTGGCAGGATAGTTGTTCATGGAGGTAAATAAGGTATCACATGAGATTTCTACCCCGAGTTCCATGGGCGGGTTTGATACAAAATTTCCACCAATAAACTAAACTTTCATGTTGGTGTTCTTCTTTTTATATCATTGTTAACTAAACATCTTTGGACTGTTAAATGAAACAAAAAAAGATGTCGGCTTTATGAGGGTTTTGTTTGCAGATTGTGACCATAATCAGAAAGTTAATCGATAACAAAGGCGGCAACAACTAAACTCAGGGACTAGCTACTGATTTAACACTAAATAAAGACAACATATACATTTTGGAGAATATAATCATATCTATGACTCAATGCATGACCTTATCTTTAAAGTTGTGCAGAAACAAAAATACCCACCAGCAGAGACTGTGACAGTTGCTGCACCATCCTCTGTGGCGTTGACTCCGTGTTGCTCAGAACAGACTCCAGCAGACTGAGCACGGCCTCTTCCAGGCTGGACAGACTGTGATACCACAGAGAGACGACAGCCTGATCCTCCAATGACAAGACCTGACTGTAAAAAACAAAACATCACTGATGAATTGATATCATTGAATATAACTGGATGTATTCATCCACATATTAAATTAAATGTTTGGGAACAACTTTGTAGAAAATACCGTCAGTCACGAGCTGTGTCTGAGATCCCTCCCCTCATCACTCATTCACTGCTCTCTATATCAAACACTCAACACTTTACTCTATTGTGAGCAGTAAATTTAGGTTTTGGACATTTATGAGTTATAATTTTGCAGCATAATTTGACAGCTGTAGTTTTCACATCTGTCAAATACAACACACTGCATTGTGGGATTGTCAGCAGAAAGTAGAGTGCATACTGTGAACTTTTTTTTTTTATTCCATTGTGGGAACATTTCAAGACGCCAAATGTTACATAAATTTGACACTCAGAATTTGAACACTTTAATACGATGCACTATATGATGTGAGTGTGAGTAAGAAGTGATGTCAGAAACAGCTCTGCTCTGAATGGGACTCCTGTCTCTTTGTGTTATTCTACCTGGACAAGGCGGAGCTCAGTGCATCCAGGAAGTCTTCACTCAGCGCTGCTCTGACACAAGTCACTGGCCGCTGTAACAGTGCACCAATGAGAGGAGCAGCCTCCGGACAAGAGACCAGAGGGACACACGCCTCTGATGTAGCCAGGATGTTGTCACATGAACACCTGGACAGAATCATTCATTTAATGTTGAACAAGATCAGAATATTACCAAAGATTAGAAATATAGGAATCCTTAACTATTAGGATCTGTGTGTTTTGGTCCTTGTTCAGCTGGCTGTAACATTTGTGTATTTAGAATACGAATTAGATACACATGTACTGTATATTGATAACACTACACACCCCTCTGTAAGTTAATGTTGGTGGAACTTGAACCTACTTTTCCTTGAATAATTTACTGATGTATCAATTAAAAAAGCAAATATTGGGATAATTTGTCATTTAATTGTGTGTTTTTTTTCAATTAAATATCAAAACATTTTGCAGTTAAATTTTGTAAATGTGAGGTTGTTGCTTCTTTTTCACTGTTGTGCATCAATGGAGTTCATATACCTTTGAGTTTCACCAGTTGTTTTGAAATAACAATATAACAAGACAACACCTTGGAATCTTTGAAACTATAATACTTATTTGTGCACAATTTATTAAAAGTAATAGACTAAAGAAAAAGACAAGAAACTAATAAGCAGATTCATCTGTTGGATATATAATCATTAGTTGCAGCCCTAGACTCTACAGTGCTGAACCTCTGATTTATGTTGCCCAGAGAACTACAGCTCTTTCCAATGTTTTCCTGCAGCACTGCCACCATCTGAAATGCAGGAAAAAGCACATACACGGTAGAGACAGATGTTAATTTGGAGACACAATACCATCCACCACAATGAAGACACTAAACATAATCACAGACCAATACACATAACACCAAAGAACTCTGCCGTGCTGTATTATCTTATCACACACTGAAGTTCAAGTGTTTTCCTTTCGAAGATTATTCAGCAGTGCAGTACTGACAGGGAACAATGTCATCATACTTGAATATTATCAATGCAGGAGAGATTCAGATCAACAGAAATAAAAAAGAGAATACCTTTCTCAGGACTTTGAGATGGTACTCTTTGGGTGGTACACCCATATGCTTCATTAATTTCTGCGCTGCAGCACCATCTTCTTCTGTAGAAAGCTGACACAACACTTTCTGTGGGAGCAACACAAAGTGCAACAGATTAATGGCACTTTCCGTTTGTGTCTATAACAGGAGATAAGATTCCAATACAAGCTGCCTAAAGCCCAGGATCCATAACATCAAAGCTAATTAGTTGCCTGAGTATAGGATGACTCCGTTGGCGTCATATCATTTGAACCACATGAAGAGTGAAGAAAAGGCATTCCAGTAAATGAGAATGTATGGACAGCATATGAGCGACTTCAGAAATAAACAGTCTTTGTTAGAGAGGGGCTTGGTGTTTAACAAGCATTTTTCAGAAGGGGCCTCATCGCACACTGATAAAACCACACTAATAAACTCAGCTGATTCTCATCTGTGAGAAACGCTGGTGAGGGAACGAGGAGTGGGACCACTTGATTCACACTGTAAATTATAACATTACTGTCGTTGATTCCAAAAAAGGTAAAGATGCAAAATGATTTTTCTAAACAAATAAAAATGTTCTATGACACAAGACAGTTTGAGACTTTGATTTATTTTACTTTCCATGTTAACTTTCTCACAAAAAAATAAAAAACGCAGCCACTCAGCATTTTATGGTCTAATGATTAATAAACTGTTAGACAAGAATTTTTCCTCACTGGTTTTCACTCAGAAGCCTGATGAAAACCCAAAGACCTGCAAGTTTTCGATTAGTGATTTATTCAAACCGTAGAAACAGTCATCTCTATTCAGCCACAATAAGTTGATTTAGTGTTACAAGCTGGAAAGTGTGATCCAACATAAACAGCCTGGGCCTCACATCCTCAGAACACACATCTGTTTTTACAGCTATGATGAACCAAAAACAGAAAAACATCCACACCACTAAGAGTAGAATAAAAAAATACAAATCCCTTTCAAACTGCAGATGAAAGGGGATCAGCGAGCGATGAGGAGAGAAAATGGATGGAGAGAGGCAGAATATGTAGAAAAAGAAAAGTCAAGGAGGTAAAAAGAAAAGAACAGAATCCCAGGCAGAGGAGTGCTGCAGCACTGTTGGTGGAGCTGTGTGGTTTCTTTGGCCGGGCCCTACAGCACGCTAAGATGCTTACCCTCCACATAGTCTCACAAAACAACCCCAATCACTACCATGTGAGCACCCTCAAACCCTGCACACTGAGTACATGCAAAACCAATCACACTTATCCCACCCTTGTAAGGAGGCACAGTGAGGCTGGGGGATAAGAGACGAGAGAGAAGAAAGGCTGGTTAGAAGAAGTGGCAGTGAGAAGAGACGAGAACACGCAGCCATGGCTACATTTGGAGCAAGGACAGAAGGGTGTGGTCACCAGAGGAATGGGATTAAGGGCAAATGGATAGATGGATGGCAAATACTTTAGGTCAAAAGTCATCTTTCTCACAGAGAAAACAGCAACCAAGCTGGCTTTGGGGGCTTTGACGAGCTGCTGCCATGGAAATTATCCCTCCATAAATCTAAAATTAAAACATAGGATGGAGAAAAATGAGCAAGGCAAAAGACTTTGGTTGGGTTTGATGTGTGCCTGTTAACAATTACTAGGCCATGATTGAATTCTCTCAAAACCAATGAAAGACTTAAGTTTAGCCTCAAATGGTCAAAACAGCAGAGACAAAAATGAGGGAGGATAAAATGAGGGGAACGAGTGCAGAAAAAGGCAAAAAGAACATGCGAAATAATGGAGCTACAAGTCATTGTGCTCAAACTTGGTGCACTATGAGAAGCCAATGTGCCTCTTCCTAACAAATGTAAAGCCTAATTTGGGGCTGACAGCAGCTTCCAATCCTGTTTTTATTTATCTGAGTCAGATGTTCTGATGTTGTGACATCAATGTTTTGATGTTGTGACATCAGAATACAATATGATTTTTTCAAACAACTAATGTATTTTAGTTGTTTGAAAGTTAGAAGTTATCCTCTCATTAACATTCAATTATATTCTATACTGCTTGTCCAGGAGGGCTGGAGCCAATCCCAGTTGAGGTTGGGCAAGAGGCGGGAGCACAACCTGGACAGGTAGCCAGTCTATCACAGCAGTGACGTATAGAAACAAACAACCATTCACACTCTCATTCACAACTACTGACAAATAAGTGTCTCCAAACCCCTAACTTACAAGTTACACTTCTGTTTGTTTGTACAGATTTAAAAATGAACAAGTCATACAAATTGTCAAACTACTCCTTTGAAGTGAATGGAATAAATGTAAAAGATCATTCCATTCAGTCAAGTCAGTCAGGGGACGACACCCAAGAAGAAAAATAAGATGAAGGGGAAGTGTAACAGTGTCAGACACTTTCATCTCCAGATAAAAGCACAGAATATAAGAGCCAGTTTGGGCCAAAGGTTTAGAAATATGTTTTAAAACTATAAATCAGCCACAGCAGCTCCAGGGCCTACCTGTGGTTCACCCTGTTTGAGTCACTAAAGATACACGTCAAAGATTAAAGTATCAAGTGTCCATCCTCCGGCTCTCTAATGTTACACTCATGCTCTACTTATCTGTCATCTCCTCAGAGATCATACCATTTTACTGCAGCGCTGTGTGGTCCTCCCTTTTTCTGGTACAGGATGTCGAGAAACAGACCGATTGAGCTAATGACTATCTGACATAGCCTGCAGCTTCAGAATGCGGCTGTACCCAGTATTCATCAAACCCAGTGAGAACACTCAGATGTGGAAAGTAGAGGCAAGCAGGGAGGGGTGAAGTGAAGACATGAAGGAGAAAAAACTAAATACCTTGAGCACTTTCATAATTTAAGGAGGAAATACATGTGGGTACTAATGGTATTATATACAGTAGCTATAAAACACATGTATTTGACAAAATAATCAATACTACATAGACATGGGAAAATGTGGGAACGCATGGGCAGACCTAAACAAACAAAGTGTTTAGATGCCACTTAGCACCAGACCCTCACTCTATTATAGCGGCGGCAAGAAAACAATGTTGGGGAGCAAGATCAGACAGAGCTAACAGAAAACAGGCTGCATTCTGCATTCCAGGACAGCGCAGGGAGAGACACAGAGACAGACCATCTCTGGCCTAAAACCATACATCTGCCCTGCTCCCCCAGACGGGCTGAGCTGTGGTGAATAGGTTTTTTTGTGCTTCCCGCCATTCCTGTCATTTGTGGGAAGTGGGAGCTTGTTTGGAGGAGAAGGGAGGGAGAATGAGGGGAGGCTGCAGAGTTGGTTTGGAGTTTATTGTACTTGTGCTCTTTGGACACTTTCAACTAGTGCCCTGCAGTAAAGAAAAATACATGCATGCAATTTTAGTGTGAGTGGCCCCAGTGAACCCAACTTAGACTTCTGCACGGTGATGGAAACACAGACTGACGTTCAACAAAGGCTGCAACTATTATTTTCGTTATAATCTCTAAATTAATCATAATCAAGGCTTTCTAAACGTCTAATGTAAATCTTCACACCACCACATCTTCCACATTTTTGCACATGAAACTGATATGTGAATACAACACTGCTTACGAAAACACATGCCTATAAAAAGCACACAGACATAGATTCAAACGCTGCAACACACACATGCACTCCACTTCCCCTCGTATGGGTCAAAGACCATCTGGCAAATTCAAGGTTTACTTTCAAGGCACTGTTTTAATTAGCAAGATGTTTTATTAGATGAGAAATTAATCAAAAGAATACAAACACACAGTTAATCTGGCAAAAATGTGAAGGTCCCACATTGTTTATCATAAGCCATCTGTGTGAACCCTCTCAAAGTTGAAAATTGCAGAATCTTAACTTCTCTGTGTTCTCTCTCCTCTCACCTTTGTATGTATGTGTGTGTGACTTTAAAACAGACAGCGAGAGGGATCGACCAGCCCTTATATAAAGGCTGATCCTTCTCTGGTGACAAGAGGCGGTGAAACAGCCATTTCTAATTTGCTTTAAAAAATATGTTTAACAGGTTTGGCACAAAAGGCTTAGACTAACAGAGACCCAATCTCCCTCATCCATCATCCGTTTCCCCATTGGAGAGAACTCCTATTAAAAGGTAAATTAGACAGCAGCCCAAAGGCACTCAAAGGGAAATTGTGAAAGGGGTGATCTGTAATTGGTAAATAATTTGTATTTTAAGTCAGGCAAGAACGAATTTTGAAAAATAAGAGAAAAGGCATGTGATTATACATTAACTATAGTTACTTGATTTAAATGTTCATATACATTTCTGAGTTTACCCTTTCCAGCTTTGTAATGGTTATTAAATGTATTTAATCTCTGTGCAGCTTCACTGGAGTAGGGTCAAAACAATGAATGAGGCTGCAGCAGTACAATCACAATTATACAATTTACAATCTGATATCAAACGTTTCTGTATCAGGTGACCTAGGCTCATAGAAAATGAACATACACAATATTGTTGTGTCTTGGGTACACTAACAGCAGGGTTTTATTATTCCTATCATTGAGCTGCTTTCTCAACACCTCTGGCTGATCTCCTCATCCTTGGCCGGCATGTATTTTATCAGTCGGTCCTATACCTTCCTTCGGTCCTATACCTCACCCCTTCTCTTCCTCCAAACTTCATCAATGAGGTTCAATCAATGGCTCTCAATAATTTTTTCCAATGCTGCTCCCACTCTCTCAAGCTGCTGCTTAGAAAGTGGCCCTGACAGGGACTTAAACCCCAACGTTAGCCACCCACTGCACCATCCAGCTGCTATGGCAAGCAGAACAAGAGCCATCTATATGTACAGTATATATTAGGACTGACATTAAAATATTCCGTAATTTACACTTTTATTAGAGAGGTAGCAGAAAAAGAGATGAGTAGAAACTTGGGTAAAGTGGGAAAAGACAACAAAGGTCTCCCGGCTGGATTTGAACCAGGGATTACAGTTTATGGTTGGCACCTCAACGCTTTGGCCACCATTGCACGCCTGCACTATTTCTACTTTGATCCCTGCTAAATGTTTCTTTAAACTTAAACCTCTGCAATTAAAAATGCTGAACAGATAATGCTCACTGTAAATTGTGCTGTAATCACGCAAAGATGAAGTGACTTAGAATGGGAAGTTGAGCTTGGTATGAAAAAGCCGTCATGAGTCACTTGTCTTGTACTTTATCCCTCATTTAAGAAAAAAAAGTCTCTTTACCCGAGTCTCTGTTGCTCATTAATCACTTAACCTCGGGGTCTGTATTAATAGGGATAGAGAATATCCAGTCCATACCCGTATCCACTGGTTGGCTTTTCTTTCCACAGCATCGCTTGGATCCTCTGAGTACAGTCCCCACAGACACTGGAACAGCAGCCCTCTGCTCGTATCTACAGACACATTACACACTATGATCTCAGTATCATTACAGTCATTATTACTTCTGTTTGTCTGGGAGTTCTGAAAACCTGACTTCAAAACTAAGAGGCTACCATTACTCTGGACCTGATCCATCCACTGTGCTCCACTGAGTTAAAGCTGCCCAGAAACACTCACCATCAGCAGTAACGAGAGGGTTCCAGCACAGTCGGCCAAGGAACTGGCCCAGGAAGGGCAGCCGCTTCATGGTTTCTGTTGTGGATCTCTTAGGGACAGAACAGATCAACACAGACATGGGATAATGGATTTAATCATCTACATGTTTTTCATCTTTAATATTTTTACACCTCTGAACCTGCTAACTTGCACTTATTTAAGCATATCAGAGAGGAAGGCACACATGTTTTTTTACCAGTTGATGTTGATTTAGTCATTTCAGTCTGATATGTAATACTTCAGGCTCTCGGATTGGTGAGGATAACTCTGGATCCTCCTCGGTTTTGAATCTCAGGTTTTCACTGTATTAATTCTAGCTCTTGATTCAAAACTTTTTTATCGCATATGATCTGAGCTCTAGATTTATGAATTTTCCCTCGCTTGATTTTGTAATTCTTGATTTAGCATAATATAATTAGCAGTAGAAAAACCTTGAGAACCTGAAATTGGCAGCAGTGGCTAAGGAGGAGGAGAGGTCATTCACTAACCAGAGGGTTGGTGGTTCAATCACTGGGAAATGAATTCTAAAGTGTACTTTGGCAAAACAATTTGAGTGGCCAATAAGACTGGAATACAGTGCTAAATAAATACAGTCCATTTACCATCTGGCACATAATCAAACTCGAACAGGACCTAGGCTGACAAACATTGAAATCTCCTTCATCATTTCATGTCACTGCAGACATTTACAGCTCCTCACCTGTGTCTGTCTTGTTTGTTTGATCATAGCAACTTAGAACCATTAGAAGATGAAAATAATCTCAAGTGAAGTTGATGAACGAGGGTGCTGAGTTGAATAGCAGGCACATCCACAGGTGTGCAGTACATTATTCATGCCTATAACCTTTGTCTGCTTTGTTATGGTCATGTCACAACTCTTAGCATAGTGTCAGTAGTGAGAGATACAGTGAACAGATCAGGGCTCTGGCCGGGGGTACTATACCTGGAAGGGCTTAAGAATGCCTGTGTGTGTGCTTGTTTATCCAGCTCAAAACAGCCGACCATGTGATTTACTTCACTTCACAGCCAATTAAAAACACCCAAAGCTTTCAGGCTAATGCACACGCTCCATTTAAGAACCTTTGATCCAGACCACTTTTTTAATTATTCGATTTTCTCAGAATCTTATTGTTGGGAATAACTTCGATGATCTGAGACAGCTCACTAAAATGAATGACCACAACAGCCATACAAGGATCTTGTTGATGTGAAAAAGACCAGAGTGCGTCACAACCCTTATAATTCAAGATGAGAATGACACAAATGGTTATTAAAACATTAAGCATGTTGTTTCTAATTAAATATGACGAAACATAGCACATTTGTCAGAAGCACAAACATTCAATTCAATTTGGGGGAAAAGACAAAGGCCTTAAGTAGCAGTGACGACTTTTAAAAATCATTTTTGATACACGAGTGATAACTCGGTAAAAACACAGGTGCACAACATTGTTCTGTTTCAGCCGACTGCTTTCCTGGTTTTGATAAATCAACACAGACCCCATTATATTTTACAATGTGATGACAACAGTTGTACATACAGGAACACATCAAAGAAGTGAGGGATTACTTACATTTACGAGCATTTGTCTGCACACTTGAATCATGTTTACGTGTCTGTACAGTATTACTTATTAGTCCACCCATATTAATGGAACAGAAATGCGATTGATCATTCCCGTGTCTCTGCAGGACCCCGTTCAATGCAGCACAGACTCTGGCTCCATATGAAGTTTTCGAAATAAGATAATAGCGTTAGTATCCGGGATATTTTGGATTTCTAGATAGTGGGAGGAAATTAAGTTATGTAATCCATGTTTATACACAGTCTATGCACAGGACCAACATTTATAACATTAATGCTTTATGGGTGAAAATTTGTAAGAGTGTATTGTTTCTTATGAGGAAAGAAAACTGAGACCAGTTTCCACCTTTACAATAGACTGTAAGTCTTGAAATTTTAGAAGTAGCTTTAGGCCAATGTATTCAAAAAGAACATCAGACAGACAATGATTGTAACTTGATTCATTCAAGTGGATGAGATCACCATTAATGGGAAGTAGAACGATGAGCCAAGTTGAGTTTCTCTAAATACCCCCATCCACATCACCGCCAATGCTGCCTGGATCACAGCCCTCAAACTCGGCCTTCCTATCAGTCCAGCAACACATGGTAAACGTTTCGTCTGTGTGAGTATACATGTGCAATTGTGTGTTAATGATGCAAATATAAAGGAATGTTCATTTACAATAGGAACGGTACAATGCTCTGTGGCTGCAGGAATGCCCATAAGAATGAGCCATCACAACAGAAAGCAATTATCACTGACTACCGAGGCCAAATCACCATCAAAGCCTTGTCAGCATTGTCCCTAATTATAATGAGCTCTGGGACCGTGTATCTTGTTTTGATTAGGGACAGACATCTCAGACTGAAGTGGCTGCTAATGTTCTAGCAACGGAGGCAAATGGTACAAGTTTATAGACAAGGATGAAGAGAACGGTGAGGAAACACTTCTATCCCTGACGTCACTGAATCACAATCAGAGTAGTCCGAACAATAAATAGAGAAGTTACTATGGTGAGAACATAAATATACACAAGTGTGTTTCAGAATTCCCCACACTCTCCATCCATCTTAAAGCTCTGTGGAGGAGTGGTGTAATGCTGCATCTTTACTTACTAAGGTTACTAGGTCATAGACTGCATATAAAGATGGACGGTGCGTCTTCCTCCAGTAATGTAATTTGGAGCCAAAGTCATCTGGGTATCACCAATCAGTCTCTGTCGCTATTATGAAATTTAATAAAATTTTTAGAGCATCAAATAACTAATTAAAACCAATAGCACTGGAGTATTTTTCATCTCAGGACAGAAGACAGAGGAAAGTTGCTAAGTCATCAAATCATGCACAATACTGCCAAGTAGCAGGGTATGCTCAAGTATTTGTGTTTTATGAGTCCACTGCTAGTAAAAGAACTTCAAGCGAATCAAGCAGTACCTTTTATTCTTTTGGTATCCATTCTTATCCTAAACACACTGACACAGAGATAGACAGATAAAATAATATCCAGTCAATCCTCAATCTGTAAAAGTATATGGATAGTAGCCAAAGTAGAACGTGAAACAGACAGAGACACTGAGACTGTGTTACAGTAAAACACATGGACTGTATAGTCGCATATGAAAACGTGCAAAGACACCGTGAGAAAGCGAGTGTATAACGTGAGGGAGAAAATGTTTATAGTCGAGAGACAGCGAGTCCAGAGCAGCACGAGGTGGAAGGAGGGAGACATGGCTGCAGTAACACTGAAATCTCACAGTTCTGCACCACTCCCGTCCTCTGCCCCCTTCCCAAATTTACCGACCTGATATGGGGATACATTAGGTTAGCACTGAAGGTCCCATTGCGGCTATTACCTGACTAACTCAACATTGCAGCACTGCCAGCCAGACATTCACAGCCTCTGCACAGCACAGAGCAGCCTCTGTTAGCAAGGGCCTACCATCGCTGGGCTTACTGTTCAAGCCCTGGCTCTGAGAGCGAGCGTGTGCATGACTCTGTGTGTGCACCAATACATGTTGGTGTTTAAATTAACTTCATTAATCAGATGGCTGTTTGACGGCTCAGTGTAAGTAATTAACCGTTTTAATTTATTTCATTAGGTAAGAGGTGTTGAGTCTGTAAAACATGCTGAATATCCAGCATTAAATTAGACAGAACAGGTATCTGGGAAATATACTTTAGAACTAAGAGTATCTGAAAAAAGCATAAATCTTCACAACCTTCTCTTGCACTGTCACAGAATGAATGTGAAGACCTGAGCTCAGCTTATCAAAGTGTCTGCTCACCACATTGTTGATATGTGTGAGCAGTTGCTGGAGGTAACTGCTTAATCTTCTCAAGTGCAGACTGGTGTCTCTCTGAGTGTCTGGACTGTCAGCCTGACCCCAAGCAACCACTTTGTCCATCCAAAACTGCATCTCCTCCTGGGCACTCGGAGACGGCTCTGTCGTGTGTTGGAGCTGGACGGCTGGTTGCAGCAGAGACATTGGGCCTCTTGTCCAGGTGAATTTACTCAGGTGCAAAGATAGATCCTAGGTGAGATAAACAATGAGACAAGTCCAAGGATTATGCAGATATCATCTGTTCTTTATCATTTTTATCTTGTGACTGCAGAGAGAAAACAACCACATTTTATATGGTCAGGTCCGTGGAGAGAAGGAATCCACTATCAAGCTTTGGTATTCAGTTGAAATCAACCTCAAGGATGTTTCGCAGTGATGCTCTTTAGGGACTGGTGGCCTGAATCCAGGGAGGGAGTGGGTGGAGTACCGTTCATGATTTTTTATAACACATTTCCTGTATTGTAGTTGTATGAATTTTTTTATAAGAAATATAAAGAATTGTTTATTGTTTTACTGTTTGCAGTAACAAAAGGAAACCTTTTGTTGAAATTGAATATTTAATGTGCACTTTGGACTTTTTTAGCAATTACTAACTGGAGCAATAGTTTAGTAAGTTTCTTCATTTTACTTTTCCGTTGCACGTTGGCCCTTCAGGAAAAAAAGACCAGAGGCACTTTTTGACAAAGCAAAGAGGAGTGCTGCTATTATTAAGGTTGTCATGAGACTTAAGTACCATGTTGATGTCTGTGTAACTGTTTTATAAAAAAACTTCAGTGAACATATTCTTACCCTAGATAAATGGGTTTATAATTAAGTAATGCAGCCGATAAAACCATTCTGTGTTTGCCAAATACATCTGGATAAACCAACAAGAGTTAACGATATGAGCCTGTCAGTGTAATTGTTGGGCTCCAATTTAATTTGTGCATGTGTGGCCGACTTCATTCACCACTCTTTATGAAAGCAGAGGCAGATAATGAAATGAAAAGTGGAAGTAATGCCAAGTGGAAAATAAATGAAGCAGAGTGAGTTAATGTCTTATTACCACAACCTAACAACCTTCTCAAACAGACATTCATGGTGGCTGAGAAATAAACAGTACATTCTTCACCTTTTATGATGATATAGAAAAACATGGGGGGGCATATCATAAGAGTGTCTGTGTTTGAGGATGTGTTTCATGTCTGTATATAGCCTGAGAATGGTGTGTGGCTGTACGTGTATTTGTTGTTTTTTGCCATAATGACAGGTCTGTGTGGGACACCACAGGGTTGTGTTTTATGATCACCTCGTTACACACGATTTCTTTAATGTCTTGCCATCATCTCTGCTGGAAAGCCCCTATGGCTCGCTGATGTGAATATATAAATACTCATTTTCAGGGAGGAAAAGAAGCCCAACCAAATTAGGAACAAACGCTTCTTGTTGACTTGTGTCAGGGGCTTAGTTTTCAGTGAAGGAGAAGTGGAAAAGAGCTGCATGCTGAATACCTAAGTAGCAGAAAGCCTCTCCCATAATATCACACACAGACAGTTCAGCTTAATACTTTAAATACACAGGTTCTGTACTTACACAAACTTGTGCAAACCCATGTCACACAGGCAGAAAAAAAAAAAGTACATGCGCACAAACACACTCGACAGCAGCTCTCGTGTTGGCTGAACACGCTCAGGAGCAGGAACGAGATGTGACTGGTCAAATATTATCTTTGAAGATTTGTTAAACTAAGCTTGTGGACTTTGGGTAAGGGTAAGTTTGCCGTTCCAATTATGAGATTGTTGACATTATTTCAGTAAATTCAAATCAGTTTAAACATCACTCTCTCCAATTTTACTTTAGTATATTATATTTAGGGTCACCTGGATTAAATGAAAGGGCTGCCTGAGTAACAGACAGAAAATCAACAGTTTCTTTCAGCTAATTTAGGCTTAATGTATTTTTATACTTAAACCTTATTTTTTCCCCACTATGGAACATTTATCACACATTCACTTGAAGCGACATATTAACAAACACCTGTTGTATGTAAGCAGAACACTAAATAAATAAAAACTTGGGAGAATAATCATGAAATTAAATCACAGAATAGCTGATACTGAAAATCAATCAATACCATCAATCATCGGTTGTGACCATTATAAGGGGTTAGTGAGTAAGAAACTGATTTGCAGAATCTACAGGAGGACAAAAACAGTGTCTAACAATTCAATCCGAAATGGGTGTTGGTGAGATGAGATATGATATCAAGGAGAGCCAGAGCATGTGGTTCACATCATTCCCTCACGCAGCAAACCATTCAATGACCCTGTGGATCGATCTATATTGGTTATGTTTTACCACTCCTTAATCATGTCCTTATTAACGCACATTTTGTTTTTACAATAATTTGATTAATAGTAGTATGTGCAAAAAAGGCTTCCAGTAGAAATTAAAACAGACACTGCATCACAATAAATGTCTATATAAATGAATAGTCCATTCACTAAATAAATGACCATAACATGAAAATAGATAGAATTAAGACCAGAAAAAAGAAAACATTTATATGTATACAATCACACAATATATACGGTATACAAACGGTTTATATAAGTCTATATAAACACAACATTTCCTATAATGATGACTGTAGAGAAAGCATCGGTCTTTTTTAACCTTCAATACAAAATAGTGAAGCACATAAACAAACACAGGTGAAGCGTTTGAGTGCAACGTTTCCACCACACCGCATGGTGCCAGTGTTTCCTCCGCTTTACCACAGCTGCAAACGGAGAGGAAGTGTGTGAGTTCAGTCTACACAACAACAGAACAACCAGAGTGAATCTGTTGTGTGATTAACGCTGTGGAGCTGCGACTCGATCAATGCAGCTCACTTCCGCCTTTGTCATCGTTCTAGAGCTGTTATCCGTTAGCTTGTTAGCGTGTTAGCCACCCCACGGTCGTATCACTGCGGTGAACTGAAAAGTGGACTTACATGTGGACAAGACGTCAGACTGCAGCCTCCACACCGGAGGAGTCCGCTACATCCGATCGGTCTTCGTGTCTTCACACAAGAAAACAAGGAGCTCGATGTGATTTGTACACAAACCGAACTTCCCTCTTCGCTCGGACTTCCGTGTATGGAAGAAGACGATTGGCTGAGAGCCGCGTAGACGTCGTCATGGCGGTGCCTGCTGGGAAATGGAGTCACAAAGCTGAAGACAGAGCGCACTGAACTGCAGACGTGCACCGATTTAAGCAGAAGTGCAAATACAAATACTTTACCTGTATTCAAATATCTGCTTAAGTAAAAATATTAATTATTCGCAACACGTACTTAAAATATCAGTGTTGTGGATTAAAACATCTCTGTGGAGGATTTATTATTGTATATGTGACTTTATTAGACTGATAAATATGAGCATCGTTTTACTGCTGAGCTGGAGCAAGTTTGAATTACTTGTATATGTATGTGGCAGAATAGTGCTTGGCGTAAACTTGGCTTTATCAGCCAATCACAACTACAGGTCCACTATAAATAGTTGGAGTTTCCTCCTCAGCTCTCCTCTGACGGTGACGGCCCACCACGTGTCCGGGCCGTTCGACTTCCGGCATTGATGCAGGTATGAGAGCGGCAGAAATGTTTGACCGCGTTGTTCCTCATAGTGTGACTTTGTGACGCTGTATTGCCTTTACTATGATTCGCATTTTCCATGATTTGCTTTGCCATGTGTTGTGTTGCCTTACTTTGTGTTGTGTTGCCTTACTTTGTGTTGTGTTGCCTTACTTGTCTATGTTTTGCCTTGACTTGTGAAGGCGTCAGGTCAGAGTGTTCCCCAGGTTAAATGTGGGCCTTTTTAACAGCGTGTATGTGACTGGGGATTTTTGCCGTTTTGGTTTGGATTGTAACGTGTTCACTTAATTTGTTGGTTGCTATTCTTTGTTTGTATCCAATTTTCACACGTTATGACTTGATTTATTAGACTACTTGATTTGTTTTAATTGTGTAGATCCAGTTTATTTATTTTACTGAAATTCAAATTGTTCTTGCGATCTTTACTTTGATTCCTATGGTTGAATTGTGTGGAGCTGCACTGATGCGTGTGTGTTTCCTTTATATTTTACAGGAGCCGAGAGCCTAAGGTGGTGGAGGATGGTGTCTCCCTGGGATGCCTCTCCTTCACTAGTGTGCCTCTCCACTGGTAAGACCCAGCCTTGGATCAATCCCCCATTCCTACATGTGTGATGGCTCTTTTACTGATTTAATAAAAGTATTTTGGGATGGAACCATGTCTCATGCTCTTTAGTATACTGAACCTAAGTGCTGTATGGTTGTAAGTATTGGTCTGGGGTGATAATATTTTCTAGGTGGCCTTGTTGGCTTGTCTGTGATTACACTGAATGCTCAACCAACCAGTCATCACTCCACTACATTTGCCATATCTATGTATGTGTGTAATCAGGATATTTAGTCCAACAGGGATCAGCCTGGTACAACCTTTCCAAAGGGTCCCAAAATAAATCTGAGATGATGTGAGAGGTTTGAAGAGAAAACTGAGTTCTCTAACTTAATATTTAATGAGATATTTCATATGAAATACTGGATGTGTTGCTTTATTCAAATGGTTTGACAAAATACTTTTGATAGATCTGCTCATACACATCTTATACATGTAGAGAGGCAACAATTGGACTGTTTTTTTTTATTGGTCACAAGCAAAATGTTTAATATTTTAACAATGGTCATTTTTGTAAAATCCTAATTTTATAAGTAAAATTTATAGCACTTGAAAGCACAAAGTTGCACAAAATGGAAATATTTAAGTGGAGAAAACTACTTGAATACAGAACAGTAAATGTAGGGATTCTTTTCTCAGTTACTGCTTGCCACACAAATGCATTAATAAATGAATTGGGGCTGTACTGTGATCAATGTTAAAAAATAAATGCTAATGTGTTTCAAACTTCTCACTCTATGATGCATATTTGCTTCAATAACATTTACTATAACTGTACTGTTAGATTTTTTTTTTTTTTTTTTTTAACAATACAGTGCAAACAATGTTAACAAAACGTAAAGGGAAGCAAAATCATTTGAAGTCATTAAATAAGGGATGGCCGGCCTGTGGAATATATTTACACATTATTTAAGCAAATGAATCAAGTGGAATAAACATTTGTCCTGAAAGATGTCAAGGAAAAACATGACTTCCAAACAGTCAAGGAAAAGAAATGGAATGATTTAATCTGTGTTGTCAGAATTTTAAACATTTAAATGAGCTGGTAATGCCTGGAACAATAACAATGCTGTGTGTGTGCGCAATGTGCACATTTTCTACTTTAAAAAAAAAAAAAATGGACACCTACTCTCTGCTTATGTTCCCATCTGCATGTGAGTGGGTTGTGCATGTGTGTCTTACATTTTAGGGGTGAGGGTCCAGAGGGTGAGGTAGAGTGCATACCATGGCCTGGAATTCAGGGGTCCCAGAGTGCTGTCCCTCTGGAACCCAAAGCAAACTTTGAAGGGTTCCCGGCCCGCATGGCTCGAGCTGACAAATCACCCAGAGGCTCCAGGCTGACCCAGAGCAGCCTGTAGGTGAACCAGGAAACGGTTGTTCAAACATGCATGATCTTGTGTGAATATGTCCATGGCTGTGTGCATGAGAAAGATTATATGCAAGTGAAGTGTGGGTTTTTGCAGCTACATTCACTTTGATTCAGTGTCTCTCCTGAGAACATACTTCTAGTGCATGTGTGGTCAAATGTGGTGGTTGTTGTTAATAAAGACTTTACCACTTGAGTAGCACAAGCCCTGCACATACAGTGAGGCGAGGCAATCTGTTTAAGTTGAATAAAAGTTATCGAGTGGCTCCATATTAGACAGCAGAATTTCTGTGGTGGGGAAAAAAAACGAGGTTGTGTGTGAGTTGGCAGGAGTGTGTGTACAGGTGTGTTCCTGTGAGGTGTGTTCGTGTGTCTCTCCTCCTGTAGCTTGGCACTCGAGGCCTGCTTCCCGAAGAGAACATGGAAAACTGTGTATGAACGTCTGTGAGGTGCAGCATCTTTTTTTTCCTCAACTTCCTGAAGGTTTTCCATTCAAATATATTTCAACACATCGACTTGAAACTGTAAGAGGTTGTTTTTAGTTTTAGCCACGCTCCATCAGACTTGTAAAGAAATGAGTCATTCTCATCCCCTGCCATTTTTAATCCCATTAAGTCAGGGAAGCTCTGTTTAATTCTTATAAGTAAATTTGAAAATATTATTAATAGGCCTTTTAACCTCTTAATGCTCCTCAAAGTCCTGTGAATCAAATAGATCTTTATTAAAGGCTTTTAGATCACACACCTTCAAATAACTTATTTATGTTGGTGTCTCCATCAGTGAGGGCAGCAGTTGAAATCATAAAGGCGCTGGTCCAGGTCCACCATCAGCTCCACCCTGCTGCTGCCAACATTTAGTTCCACCAGGGCTGGATCTCCCCACATATAGGGTAGTTGTGTGTCTGAGTCTTGTAAAAACATCAGCATATGGGTTTGGAACAAGGTCCCTGGCAACACTCGAAAAAACGAAAGAGAAGGAAAGAAAAACCATGGCAAAAACTTGAGTGTGGTTTGATGCCCAAAGTGGAAACCCACACACTGACGTTTTTGTGTGTGTATGAATGTTTATGTATGTGTGTTTGTCCTTGTGGCTGTGCGTGTGTTGCTTTGCCTTTGCTTGCATGGGCACACACATGGATGCTAGGAGAAATGTAGTGTAAACCGTGTGTTTTTACTGTACTGCTACTCTGTGATTATTACAGAGCCGAGAGACGGGCTGTCACGCAGCGAGGCAGCCACTGGTCTGTCTTTGTGTGCGCGCATGTGCACGCTTTATGGCTGGGCTAAAGGCGTGATCACGTCCAGCAATTGGCCAACTTGACAAATGTACCTTCATGATGTCGATGTCCCATCACTGTTGCTGATTTCTAAGCAAACTGAAGACTCACATCATTCACAGAGACGTGTATGTCAGACACAAATATATGCTACAATACTCATTTTGTTCTAAGTAGGTTTTTTGCTGTTTTTAACTTGCAGGTGCTCCTCCTCATTTTGTCCAAATGGATGATTTAGGACAACATAAAGAGTAATGGTGAAAGTCAGTCATCTGGGCCCAGATCCTAAGTGCAAATATGAGCAACTAAATAGATTTTGGTATATTTGTCTTTTGACTATGTAGTTTGGCTTGAGAAAGCTGTGGGCTGGTGCAGAGCACTTGGGTATCACTCTGGAAATGATCCCGGCCTCCCAGAGCAGGGGCAGCACAGCTGCTGACAAATTTGTCATTTCTGACCCAGACCAATCCTATTACCACAACTGGTCCAGACCAAAACCATTATACCTACCTGGTCATGCCAGTGCCCTGACGTCTGTCTCATTGCACCACATGTTGATGCTGCTCTGATGGTCAGTCTGCTCTGTGTGTGTGTGGTGTCTGCTGCTTTACCACAAGAAGGAAAATATGAACTATGTAGTCAGCTGCGTTGAACTTTGTATTTTCATTTTGGCATCCAATTAATTGTTTTTACAGAACAAATAAATTAATGCATAAAACCTAACCCTTTTCTCTTCAGTGTTTTTTTTTTTTTACACAAATGTTTCTGTGAACGTGTTCATGCAAACACAATATCACTCAATTTTATTGATTGTTCCAACTTCCAACTCTGAATCCAGCATCCATTCTTAAATCTATCCATCCATACATATTGTATATGGATACATTCAAGGCTATTAGGTTTTTAAAGATCTTTGCTCATCCCATTCTTCTCCATCACTCAGAACCAGTGTCAACCTTTGTGTCTTCATGTCTCTGAGTCTACATTTCAATTTCTGGTCTTTCTTTCTGTGCCGCTGCAGCACAGAGGACAGTTGAAGAAGCCATGGAGGCAGAAAGGAAGGAGACGTTCGAATCAAAGCACAGGAATGTGCCGTTAAGAATCTTCAGATCCGTTCAGGCTTAACTCTGAATGTCTGGCTGTTAGCAGAGAGAGGGAGAGAGATGAAGGGGGGGAGAAAGAGCACTTTTAAAAAGTGAAAGGAAGAGCTGTCAGAGGTGTCTCCAGACAGGGGCCCGCTCTCCCTCATAAATGGATTTATATCTCACAAGGAGTCGGAGGATCTGTTCCTTCTGTTCTTACTGTGTTCCTGCGTGTCTGTAACTGTGTGTGTGGTGGTTTGCTTTTTTTGTGAACATCTATGTTGATGGTTAGGTTGGACAACAGTTAAAGGTTTGAGACTTAATAGTTTTCATGTCAATAAAAAAACAAAAAGAACATTTTCAAAAGACATTGTATAATTCTTATTCACTCTCTACTTTCTTCTGACTTAGTGGGGCCGGTATTAAGGAGGTAAAAATCCAGTGTTGTTTTTCTCACCGTCAAGGTCATGCAACTGTCTCTTTGAGGATTTTCACCCGATTAAATCGGCATCAGTGATAAAATATACACAACTGGAAGAGGATACCTCCACCCAGGCTAATCGCCATGTTAAGGGGAAGGAAAGTTCCAAATCCGCTTGAAAATGTAATAGATTGTTCCTTAGGTCATGCCACAACCTCCACAGAATTTCATGCAACTTAGTTTGTGCATAATCCTCACAACAAACAAACACAGATGATGCAGTTAAAAATGACTTTATACCATTCAACTCCTTAATGGCAACATGTGACTCTTGTGTCCATATTGAGCGTTTTAAAAAACAATCACAATTAAAAATGGAAGGTTTGCCCATTTCCCTACATTCTTGGATTACGCAGGGTGTGCTGTGATGAGAGATAAAACGATGGCTGTTTTTGAGAGTCCATCGTGTTCAACCAAAATGCCACAAAAATCCACAGAAGTAGAAAATAAAAATGACATCCTGCAAAGAGGAGGCTTAAAAGGAAATCAAGACTTACCGAGCATCTACTGCCTTGTAATGTCTGCTTTGAGCAGTCACAGAAGATGTGTATAAAATCCTGCCTAGAGGAGAAGAGGACTTTACCTTACATAACACCTTTTTACATCTTTCTGCTCAGGTAAAATGCCATAATACAAACACAACACTATCACACATATATTTGCTGCTTTCTTTTTAATGCATAAACACATGTAATCTGAGGGAGGGCACTCTTTATGACATTTCCAGGCATTTTAAAGCTTGCTTCTTTATTGCTTTGAGAGGAAGCTGGGGATTGGCTAAGAAAGGGAGAGCGGTTCTGTGACCAATGTGAAACAGCACTGCATGCATGAGGCTGAACGCACCAGCACACTGCATGAACTGAGAGGGGCACATTCACAATCATGAATTCTTTTAACTTTCCACATGAGCATACAGGTATTTATGTAGTTACCTTATACTAATTGATCTATTCTGTGTGTGTGTGTGTGTGTGTGTGTCACAGGTAAATCCTGTACTCTTTCTGATTACATATGGTTACATATAACACAGCTGCCTGGTAATCAGCACGTAAGAAGAGAATGGTCCGAAACTCCACATTTGCAATCAGTTTAAAAAATCAAAAAAAAATCAGCACCAGCAAAAATTCCAGCAGCAGACATGCTGATCCTGATTTTACACTTGAACCAATTGAATAAAGGCACAAAATGAATGAACACAAAGACTCCAACTCTTAATGACTCTGAACCCTCAACTAAAGCCCAAATAAAAAAATGTAATATGGAACAATTTCTCATTTAAATGTCAAAAATTTAAAAACAAAATTATTTTGTGTTGACTTGTTTATACAAAATGTTTTAAAAACAATTTTCAACTGGAGAAATCCAGTCGCCTTTCATTTGCGTAATATCAGCTTTGCCTAATTTTTCTGTCTGTCTCTATTGGTCAGTCATAATGGATCCCAATTATTCGTTGCCATTTGCAGCGTAACTTGAATAAAACTTCACTTTGATGTTATGATATGCACCTGAGTCGTGTCAGGTAGATTTTCATCAGTAATGGTGGTGAAGACAACAACTCCCATGATCCCTTGCCGCTTTTATTGTTTTGACTGAGAGACCCCTCAGTTACATTTAATCATTGCTACGACTCAATTATGATACCACTATAGGTATATTCTCCTTTTGATGGATTGGGTTTGGAATTATACAACTCATTAAAAAAATCATTTTGAATTACAGTGAACAGAACAAAATAATGAATAATTCTCAGTTTCGGGTTTACTGTTTAATGTATAAGAGCAAAGAAGGGGGATTATACTGATGCAAAAACAAAAAAATCCCTTCTGAATATATTGGGCCCCAGAGAACTCTGCTTGACGTGAAAAATGTCGGTGGGTCGGCCTCCAACAAAACTTTGTCCCTGTCACTCATTTGTCGTCCAAGTGCAACAACCTGATCCCAGAACTGTGTCGTTTTTTTACTGTGACAAGCATGTATACAGTGTACTGCTTTAAGTGTATATGTGCATTCACACACACATGCACACACACAGATTTACACCTGTTTCTTATTAGTCCAGTAGATTGAAGGGATATTGAGTGGGAGTGTTAAACACACACACATCCATCTATCCGCCCCTCTGTCCACGATAATTACACACTTCCTGCTCTGAAATCGTTCTCTGACAGCTTCCACTCCAATCATGTCTCTGTTTAAGTTTGTGTGTGTGTGTGTGTGTGTGTGTGTGTGTGTGTGTGTGTGTGTGTGTGTGTGTATTCTATGACAGTTTTGCTTATTTTGCTGCAGTCATTTCATTGTTTTCTCTGCCTCAACCTCTCAACAGCTCGATTACGGCTCCACTATGGAGCCTCTGTTAAAATATATTTGATAAAGTAACTTGACTGCAGTGTTATTACTGATACAGTTATGTTTTCACCCCCGTCAGATTACCTTGAAACTTGGTTGTGAAGAATGGGTCAGGGAAGAACCCATTCAATTTCTGCATGAATCTGGATCAGGGGGTGAATCCACTATTATTTTTCCACACTTTGATTAATTTCATAGAGAATAATTCTTGGATCTTTAGTTAAAAATATTATATCTATGAGTAATATTATATCTTGATTGGATTTAAGGGGACTGTTGGGTCTTGGTGGTCGTATGTGCTGTTTCTTACTTGCTTCATTGTTTATTCTGGGGTTTGTTCTAACTCTTCAAGTCATTTTTTGTCTTTCTGTCCAAGTTCCTATTAACGAAGTCCCCATGAAGTATAGGATCTTGAATCCTCATCAACACCCAGTGTTTCAGTGCCTCTACAGTGGAGGTCAGAGTGAGTGAGTATCTGTGACATCTAGATAATCATTCTCTCTGTGTCTGTAAGTACTGTACAAGCTCATCTCCGTGCATTTACACCAGACGTGCATGTGCGTGTGCTCATGTATATATTTTCTGTACATGTGTCTGTGTGTTGAATCAGACTGAGCCTGCCCCTGGGGTCCTCAGAGCTCTCCTCCAGCCCTGTTCCTCATTAGGCATCTGTCATGGTGCCAGAATCAATAAGCAAAGATGGAAGACAAAAAAAAATCTGTCCTCTCCTCTGCTTTTTGTGTTTACCATGATCATCAAGGAAAGACCCTCCTCAACTTTACAGTACTTTTGTACCCCCCCCACACACACACACACACACATACAATGTGTGAGACATGAAATCAGATGTTCCAGATTTGTTCAACTTTGCTGAATTGTGTTTTCGCTCAACACTCACAGACACAGATGAAAATATTTAGTTGTGGGTTGTTGTTTTTTTTGTTTCTTTTCTGTCCCCCTTGAGTCTTAAGATGATGCATCTGTTTCCATACATTGTTGGATGTTTTCTGGCAAAGACAAACAGCGTAGTTTAAACAAAGAGGTGGGTGGTGTGTGTGTGTGTATGTGTGTGCGTGTGTGTATGTGTGTGCGTGTGTGCGTGTGTGTGCATGCGCCTTCTACGTTAAACAAAAGGGAGAAAGGATGACAGCAGTTTGTCATCCTCAGCGTAAACGCTCATATATCACGCTAACATCTCACATGTGCTAAGTCCGATCACGCAAGAAACAAATGAATGGAAAGTAGGAAATGGATAGAAAAACAAAGGCGAATGGAAAGTGAAGAAAAACGTCAAAAAGCGATGGAAGTCCAAATGAAGCAGACTAAAAGCAAAGGAGGGTGGAAGGAGAGTAGCGGAGGGCAGGATAAATGCTTCCAGTATGAGCGGAAGAGTAGAGATTATGACATGGCTTGGCACGGCTCTGTAGCGCTCGTCTGTAACACAAAGAAAGAGTGGGTGGGTTTTCCACCTCCACAGAATAAATGATGCGAGGGGAAATGGGAGTAAACAACATCAGTCATTATAATTACTCTCATACGACTACTCCCATCCACCATCAACCATCCTCCACCCCTTCCTTCACTTTTCCTCCTCCCTGCTTTTTCCATCTGTCTTTACTCGCTGTCTTTTTTTCTCTCTTCAACTTGATTACACCTTTTACTTCACTCTCTCTCTCATTGACTTTGTCTTTCCATCCCCAGTTGGCAAAGTGCACTTCCTCTTTTCTATACCTGTATCAAACTTCACCCACTTCTTTCAGGCCTTGCATGTCGAGGTCGAGTGTGGGGTGGTCTGACTCTGCTCCTGCACAGAAGAAATACGAGGCCGCAAACACGCCAGGAGGAAAAATACTACAAAAAAGGCTGCACGTCAGCGTTTCATTTAGCGCGTTTGTCTGAACGCAGCAACAACAGCCAACAGTAATAGTAATCTTGGCAAATCTCTCGAGGTTTTCGCTGCAGACGATGAGACGGATACGATCTTTGGCTCTGGAGGTGTACCTCTCTCTTGCAGCAGAAGCCTTTGAAATCCGCTGAACACAGTGAATCATGTCAGCTGTTTCTAAGAATTGGATCTGTTTCCCTCACTGTCTTGGACCTCCCTTCTTTTGGCTCACTCTTTCTGTCGTAGGATTCCTGGAGAGCTGTAGTCGTATTCAGGAAGAGTTGTGTAGTCACTTGTGTGATTTAAATGGCTGTGGTCAATGAAGGAATTCTTGGCCTTGAAAAACAGTAGTTCTGATCCAAAATGTTCAATTTGACACATTCGCAAAAGTAGAAAATTAGTGTTCAATACGAGGACAGAGACTAAGTCCAAGTCCGCAGCCACGCCGGCCTTAGACATCATTCTCATAAGGGCTATTTTATTGTTATTCACCACTGCAGCTCTAGCATAGAACTGCTCTGTAACGCTGAGCTTATGTAAGTTTGGCCACTGGGGACTTGGACCTCACATTCTTCTGGATCCGTCTCGTTGAAGGAACGCACTCCC